GAAAAGCTTAAATTGCCTTAAATCGTACATGAATATTTATCTTTCACAACAAAATTCAGTATAATTAATATTAAGATTCTTGAAGAAATGTAAATGTATTTTACTTGCTTTTTGTGTCACTATTACACTCAATTAGATTATACCTAATAAGCTGCTAAATATGTTATCTGAACTTAAAAGTTGTCCACACTTTTCAAGTATTAACAAAATTTGCCAACAAATTTAGAAGGACACCAGGTGTTTGCAATTTCACCCACCGCAGATCCAATGCACCACAATTACATGCGTAGCATATGACGCCGCCATCAAGCCACATGTCCATGCATATATTTTCATAATTATCTAAATAAATGTTTGTAAGGCCACAACACAACACACAAGTGAAAGCGACATGAATTTATATTAAAAACAGAGGAAAATTCTACCAGAAAGCGGGACCCAGTAGCCCACAAATGTATCTGTGAGATACTTATGTGCGTGTGTTTGTGTTCTTGTATCTGTTGGTTGACTCTAATTTCAGCCCCGTTTGCAACCATTCCATGCTGGAGAGCATAAAATAACACAAGACCTAGTTAGAGTTGCCTGCAAACCAATTTGTGCCTTGTATGTGCGTGTGAGCAAGTGTGAGTGTGTATGTTCAAATGCAACATTATGGCCACTTAGTTGTGTTGGTTTCGTGGTTTCTGGCACCTTGCATCGTTATGTGTGTGTGTGTGTGTGTGTGTGGCTGCAGTTATACGATAGCTGCAGCCTTTTATGGCATATTTTAGTAGCTTTACCTAAATAAAAGTGGCGCTAGGTGCCATTTCCTGCTGCTGACCATAACGCGCCAAACTATGCAGCAGAAAGTATGCACAGGATAACACACACACACAAACAGACACACACACGCATACACTACTTACTCGAAACGCCGCAAAGAATGCAACAATTTGCTGTAAAACGAAACCTCAGCCCCAAGCAGAAGCACCTCGAAGGCACCGAGTGAAAATATATTTTGTGGCAACATCAAATTTTTTCGCACGGCATTTTTCGGACTCGTTTTGCATTGCATACTTTTATGTAAAATAAGGTAAAATAAGTGTACAAGTTTTGGGGTATTGTATAGCTGTAGCAGTATAAGTATCACAAGTATCTGGCTCGTTAGTCGCAAATGAGAAGGCGTCGTCGAGAACGAAACGAAGCTAATGAAAGCCTTTAGCTGAATGCGATGCAAAATGATGCTGTACTCAAAAACCGAGACTCTAGCATGCCTATCCAGGCTGCATAACAAGCACAACTTTGGTGGTGGCGGAGGGAGCGAGTGCTGCATTATTTAAGTGGAGCAGAGCACCCATTTTAGGCCTTCATTCAGCATTCGGGCAAACAACACTTGGTTCCAGGGTTCTTTTGCCTATGCCCATTATTTGCCCAATTTGAATGCGCATTGAGAAAACATTTGCAGCAGCCTTGTCATGCAAATGATGTTAAAGTGCTATCCCAGGTGACCCATATGTTAACGGTAATAAACAGCTCCAGACGTGAGAGTCTGATACCAATGACTACAGAGTGTATTATCTACGTCTGCACGATTATGAAATACACTATAAATTTGTATTAAAAAAATGTAATATAAGGTGAAAAATTCCGTTTTTTTAAATAAACGAATTTGAATTAAAATTTAAATGCTTACTATTTTTGTTTTCTGTACCTAGTTATTCTATGAATGAATATAATCATCAAACTGAGCTGTGATATTAGGTTTGCTGTAATAAAAGATTCCAAAGAAATTATTATTTAAATATATTCCATATATATTTATTATATTTTATTTCTTCAACTACTTTGAATGAACCAATTTTCTCAAATGCCTAATAATATCACATTCAAATTGATTGTAGACAATTAACCAAATTTCACGAATAATTTTGGATAAAATAATAGTCATGCTTCATGACATTTTCTAGATATTTTCTTTGGCATATTTGCTGGCAAACAAAAAGTAAAAGTCAACATTAAATGTCAAGCCGCAGAGTAGAGACCACATCTCATTGGATTTATGACAACAGAATTGATATTAATGTAGAAAACTCGTAGCACACTTGCAAATAGGCCAACCACTGAATCAGTAGCAGGGAGGGGAAGGATATAGCAATATGGAAGCTTGGCAGACAGTCAACTTTGTGGCTTCCTCTGCCAGTTTTGCATACGAGTTTTGTTCCCTTGGCCCACAGCCGCTGTCCCGGCGTGTTGTAAACCGCGATTAACGTAAATAGCGGAAAAAATGGCGCACAGTAGCGGCGAAAAAAAAAATAAAAATAAAAAAACATGGAGCAGATAGGCAGGCAAACACACACACACACTTGGGGGTAAAAAAAAAAAAAAAAATAAAACTGGCAGGGAATGAAACCGAAACGGAAAAACTGAATGCGCCACAGAGGCTACAGCACTGGCAAAGCCACAACATAATGTAGGTCATGGCGGCGATATGTGTGAGTTTACTCCACTGGAGATACTCTGTCTGTAAATCCCTCCAGCAGCCAACGCTATGCGTCAGGATAAAGAGTTCACATGTTTGTATGGCACCAGCCATGCGGAAAATTTGTAGCAATTTCTAGAGAACGAGGCAACTGCTGATGTTGATGTTGATGTTGCTATTCCTGCAACTGCTTCTGATGCAGTTAATTAGCTGTTGAAGTTTTTTTTTATTAGATTGCGGATTAGTTGAACTACCGACATGGCTCCACATGCAACATGAAAGCAAAGAGATAATGTACCAAAGATGATTTTGCTTCAAGTTTCATAACATGCATTCAATGAGGACTTCAAATTACTTAAAAGTCACATATTGCTTATTACACGGCAGATAATTACTTAACGGAATGTTTGATTTATACAGAATTAAAAATGCATATGTTAAACAACTCGAAAAGTGTTCTTTGTGTATTTGCACAAGTAATTGGATGAATTCGTATACTTAAAAATGTCGAGTGAAATGACATCGGAATTAATCAAAGATTTTCTGTAGCTATGAATAAAATATGCTCGAGAGATTAATGTTTTCTAGGCAATAGTTAGCTATTCATCTGTGTTTTGAACAGGTAGAACGAAACAATTTCTTCATACACGAAAATTAAATATAAGAAAAAACTATAATTCAATATAATGCAGAGCAATTTAACCATTAAATTAAAGCTTACGATTATATCTAAATATAAATATTAAAATAAAACAATTCTTAAAGATATTATCTAATTCAATGCGATATGCGAATGTTATCCTTTTTGAATAACTTAATAATAACAACAAACAGCACACGCGAACCATATGTTGCACAAGCAAATTTCCATGAAACAATACCATAAACAATTTCCCCCCACTGGATAACTTTCTATTTATGACTTTATTATGTACTCTACAGAAAACTGGACAAATTTTTTAAATGGCTTTGGCTGAGTCAATAACTTACATGATTTACTGCACTTTGCACTCCCCTCGCATAGTACGCTATTCTAATAAAAACCAACTACAAACTAGATAAAATATGAATATGAACATATAACGTATGCCACACACAGATTGGCACATATTTATACTTACAGCGCACACACTTTGTCTGTGTCTGTGTTTGTGTGGAAAGAAATTGTCGCATTGCAGTTGCAGCTATTGAAAAAGTTGGTGTTTGAGTTTCGAGTAGAGTTGAGTTGAGTTGAGTTGAGATTTCCATTTACCCAAGGATGAAAGTTTGTACAGCAGCACAGCATGTAACTAACGTTTTTGTTTTTCAGCTGCTTTAAGCCAGTTTGGAAATTGAAAGTGAAAACTGCCAAACTGCCGCAGCTGTTGTGGATATAATTCATAAATTGAGCGCGAATTTTGCCGCAAAATAAAAAAGTTGAAAAGTCATTCAATGCTCAAATTATGATTAAGTATGCAAATTGGCGTCTTGACACACACCAACAAATTTTATTGAATACATATTGGCATGTTATTGAAATTAATTATGAAGTGATAATGGATAATTTAATAAATACTTTAACAGCATATTGAATAACTGTAAAGCTGCTTAAGGAGTCATTTAACTATTGGTATTATTTAGTGTTGTTTGGCTAAGTTATGTTCAACTCTAGTCTCACATCATTATCAAAGTGCGGCATATGGGTATGTATATAAATATGTATACATAGCTATATACATGTCCCCGCACTTTGAAGTGGGTTAAGCACAATAGCTTTGACAACACAGTTGTCAATCAATGTGCTTCTCACAAAAATATAATACATTTTGATGGCCACGCACAGCTAACGACATTTAATTACAAACAGGACACGCATTCGATACGCAGCTCAATTACGCGCAAATTCGACAAAAAAAAATGCAATTTTAAAATTTAATTAAATAATTAACGCCGTGACTGATTCATTTGTAAAAGCGGAATGACGCTTCGAAAAAATGGAAAAAGAAACGACTGACAACAAATATGCATTTGACGTTCCGCGCCAAGTGGGCGTGGTCCAGCGCTGAGTCAATCAGTGCAAATTCAAATTAATTATTGATCAATATTGGTAACATTCAACGAGAAAACCTTAACTTTGAAAACGGCAAAAGTGAGGACACTTGTTTAAAGTACAATTAAGATTTATTATTATCAGGTGAAAAACATATTTAAAAAATAAAAATAAAGCACACAGAATAAATATGTTTATTGTATTTTTAATTGCAATGAAATATGTTTAAAATACTCTTTTTAAAGGAATAATTCATCAAGATAATTATTATATATATTATTATTCAACTGATATTAAGTTGAAGATGGTGTGGCAAATAATAAAATTTTTTATTTAGTTTAATGTAAAGCATTTTTAAAAAGCATATTTTTAATTAAATACATATTTCTTTTGAGCAAAAATAAAAGCAAAACTATGGAAAACTCATTAAAATAAATTCTAATAAGTAATCATATTTTGTTAAATTATTTTGCTATAATTAAATTAATTTAAAGGAATTATGTTCTTTGGCAGACTCAAGGTGGACAACAATGGAGGTGCCTGGTGTCCCAAGCATATGGTCTCACGGGGTCTCAAGGAATATCTGCAAATTGATCTGCTGCAGGTGCATCTGGTGAGCGCCGTTCGAACCCAGGGTCGGTTTGGCAAAGGTCAGGGCCAGGAATATACGGAGGCCTATGTGCTGGAATACTGGAGACCCGGCTTCGAGAAATGGCTGCGCTGGAAAACCATACAGGGCAAAGAGGTGAGTGTGCCTCAATAACCAACCTTACTCCCTTTCTCTCTCTCTGCCCCCACTGGCTCCTACACTCTCACACTCTCTGCATTCACACATTAATCAGGAACGGGCCGGGCGGCGATAAACATCGCAATTGCCGCTAGCCACGAACAGATACAAAATGCATCCACATCTTTAGGCTGCACAATTTACGTGCGAATTATCGCGAGGTGAGCGAGAATTGCGTAGGTGTCGCTAGATTGTGGAGGCCCAGCCTCCAGCTCGTACCCGTTCCATCGATTTATTGTGTGCCGGCTAAGAAAATCAATTTGGACGCTTTTGTTTTTTTCTTTCGGCCAAAGAGCTCGAATTCCCCCACCTACACGCTGCTCGCTATCCAACTGGTGCATTAATAACATTTTTTTTTCTTTTTCTTTAATATTATTTTTGTTTTTTCTTTATTGTATCTTGCAGATACTTCCTGGCAATATAAACACCTACAGCGAGGTGGAGAACGTGTTGCAGCCCAGCATCTTTGCGTCGAAGGTGCGCATCTATCCCTACAGCCAATATGATCGCACCGTCTGCCTGCGCGCCGAGATCGTTGGCTGTGCCTGGGAAGGTAAGTGGTCCCTAGTCATAGCCATGAATTATCGAAAACATGGAGAGTCCAGCGCCCGACCCATTACCATGTACCCCAACGCCATGCTTCGCACTTGTTCATGCCCTGCGGCTGGCAAACAGTTAAAGTATCTTTTAGCTGCACAAGTCAGAGAGTTAAATATTCATAAAGCAAATGGAAGTATTCATACTCTATCGAATATTTTCCAAGGCAATATTTTTATTTGATGTCAACTGGATACTTTTAAGAAATGATTTATATCTTATTCTGAAAATTTGTATTATTAGATACATAGTATTAAAACATTACTAATTTAAACAAATTTTTAAACCTTGTTAACCCATATAATGCATTGGATTCTTGACTTCGTGAGTGTATAAAAGTATCTGCGAGCATGCAATCCAGCGTGCGACCGGTTTTGATGACTTTGTTTTGCATTTGCAAGCCAGCCCAGGCAAAAAGCTAGTTATTTTCTTTTATTGTTTTATTAAAAGTGTTATTGTGGCTCGGCTGTTAGCCAGTCGCATGCTGCATAAATGATTTACTGATCTTAGACCAAGGTAACCATTTGAATGTAACTTGAGTGGCGATGCATAAGATAGTATTATAATGACGAGTAACTAGGTACTGGTCAAAGCTCAAAATATGACGCCTCAAATAGGCTTAAATTAATCGGATGCCTTTCATTATATCATTTAATTGAGACTATCTTGACTTTTGCAGAGGGTATTGTCGCCTACAGCATTCCGAAGGGCGTTCAACGCGGCATGGAAATCGATCTCTCCGACAAAACTTATGATGGGCATGAGGAGGGCGATCGTCTTGTGAATGGACTTGGCCAGCTTGTCGATGGGCAACGCGGGAAAGACCATTTTCGCATGGATCTCAATGGCTTTGGTAAAGGTACAAAATGTTTGGCCGGCTCTTAAAGAGTCAAGACGGCTTAGTTCAAAACTAGATTGCTCCATAACGTTCTTTATGGTAGCTCATGTTCTACAAGTCACATTAAATAGTCGAGTCTAGACGGTATTAGACTTAAGGCTACTTTACATGTTGTTTACTGAACATAAATGTCAAATAAAATTGTTCTAAACTGGCTCGGCTCTCATTTGATATGACATGTAATGGAGATTATAGTACTCAAGCTTTTAGTTGATATTTATAAATGTGGTGCAGTAGGGAAAGGAAAAAGATACAGACGTAGAAGAGTAATCAAGATAAATAGTTATTCGGTAACGATTAATATTACTCATTAAAAAGAGGAAGAATGTAAGCGAACTTAATTTGTGAAAACAAGAGTACAACAATTCAAAAATGACAATTTAATTTGTATTATTTAATAATGAAAAAAAATTGTATTTCAGGCTATGAATGGGTTGGCTGGCGGAACGACACATTATTTGGTCGTCCAGTGGAAATTACATTTGAATTCGAAACCGTACGCAATTTCAGTGCTGTCATTATACACACAAACAATATGTTCTCCAAGGATGTGCAAGTAAGTAAAAAAAAATGACATTTCTAGTAGAAGACACCACAATACACATCCCTACCCATATCGACTACAAACCCATTACTGTCAAATGCAACCGCAAATGCATTTTACAACATTTTTGTTGAGCACTCAATGTGCATGGAAGACAACACGATACTGTCATTTGCGGACAGATAAATTGGCTCTTTAAAAATAAAATACATCAACAACAACAAGCGAATTATATAAACAAAATGTGCTGCGCCTTTTGTTTGGAAATCGTAAAATATCAACAGCCGCTGCAAGGTCCGATACGCAGCCCCTCCGCCCCTCCGCCACCCCAACCCCCAATGGCCCCTCTCTCAGTGTCCCGCCAGACAAGCTGGCGGCGGCAAACTGAGCAAATAAATGCTAAACAGTTCCGACAACCACAACATCAACCGCAATAATAAAATAAAATTGTCAGAGAGCGGGGTAGCGCGAAAGAAAAAAATACGAATGATTTTTATAAACAAAGCAAACACGAAATCGAACCTAAACAAACCGCAATTGATACGAACGCAACGATCTGACTCAGGTGGCACTTGAAATCTGTTGGCGGTACTTGTACCATACATATATATTTATATGTATATATATTTATGGTATCCATAAGTTGAAGCATTATAGAGTCAATTTTCTTACTCCTTGTGGTATTTATCGAAAGTAAACAATGCGAGTACATACAAATACAATCGTATAATGATTGGGCGCTGTTATGTTTTGCTTAGCCACACAAATGCTAAAGGGGCCTACTCGTTCCCTCAAATAGCTGGCCCCCATAATCTGGCTATAAAACTGAACTGAACTGAACTGAACTGAACGCAACATAACAGAATTTTGTTTCAAGTCCATTGACCCAAATTGTTGTGGCAATGTGTTAAATGGTAGATTAAGTTAGATATGAGCTTGTTGACTGATAAGAGCACCCAAATTGTTTCACTTCGCTACATAAAAAGGTAGCTCAGCAGCTGTGCAGCACTATCTTTAATTAAAGTCAGCCCTAGTACAACTCAATATGATTGCATTTTCTTGCAACCCAACTCTCGTATCATAAATATCTTGTACATTTTCTTTACCTGACAGCTTCGAGTGTCGTACGACAGTTTAATAATTGGAATATGCGCCCTGTTTGATCTTATCACTATTAACTATGTATATTTGTTGCAATATAACACCCCAATGCAGCTCGTACGCTTGTCAAATTTGTGTCAAATTAATCTCGATTTTTTTTCTTTTTTGGCTGGGCACACAGATAACTATACTTCAACTAGTCGTCTGGTATATTGTCATAAATACGCATTTAATATGTACCTTTTATTAGTGATAAGTTGTACATGCTTTTCATGTGTTGAATACATCTAAGCAGCGCCGATAGAGGAATGAATGTTAGTCTATAGTTGGATGTCAGGATATGCGTTGGGATCCACTAATGAATATAAAAACAATAAACAAGTGTTTTCTTATTTATCAAGATAAATCACCACACATCTCATATAATTCTCATAGAATTACGGCCTTTTACTAGTCAAAAGTTCTCCAATGTTACTCTGCAAATACTTTATAAGAAACAATTTCAATCTATAATCTCTAATCTCTACCAAAATCCATGAGTGCTTCAAATGAGTCTCAATTTTTTTGCTTAATCTCAAATTTATGATGCCAATTTATGCACATGAGTAATTTTATCAAGCTTTTTAGTCTGAAAAGAAACGGCTTTATCCATCATTAGAGATCGTCTGTATAGATAACCCGGCTTAAAGAATTTCGTACTTCTCCTCAGTTCTGCTGACGTAATTAACCACAAAGTATGCAGTCAATTGGCAGCTTCAAGCGGCACATAAAATTTCAATTACCACAAATTTTCGCGGGCTTTGATTTGTTGCCGCCATTTATACGTGAACTTAACTGGGTCTGCAGTCAACAGTCTCTGGGGTGGCAACATCCTGGTCTACCTGCTTTGCGGCCACTTGACGTTGCACAGTAGTGCGAAATCGTTGATTCGCTAATATATATTCCATATTGTTTCTTATACTACAATATTCAGCTAAATTGAAATAAATAAAATCTATATTATTATATATTTATTTTAGTTATTTCGTTTTCTATTTCCAAATAATCCTGAGCATAAACATCAAAGAGAAATTGTGATATATTCTTAGCCTTCCTAGCTACGTCTCTCGAACTTATGCCAGCAAAATACTAGTTGTTACCACTGTGTATTGACCACTCGGTTTATGGTTGCCATAATTTACACAGAATCAACGACGACGTCTTCGCTGCCGTTGCCGTCTCTCACTCGCTATAAGTCTCATTTTTATGATTTTTCATTACCATTTGCTTGGCCAGCACCATTCGGAATGGCCCATAAGTCATAAAATTACTTAGAGCTGCTCTGGACCCAAACGCATACCCAAACCCGGACCCGAAGCATCGCTGCCATGGGACACTCTTGGTCCAACTGTCGTGCCATAAATACTCAAAATGCCATTTGTGATGCATTGATAAGCTCAAAATTATGCTAATTGCGTTTTAATTATGACACGCGTGTGGCTGCTGCACCTTTCACCGCACCTGCACCTCAACGACAAGCCCACTCCAGGTTCAAAGCCAGCCCCAAGACAAACTCCAAGTCCCAGTCATTATATGTCAGATGTTCGATAAGCCTCTGGAGCTCTTGCGTTGTCGGTTAGCGTCTGCTTGTTTGAGTTTGTCTTTAGCATTTCTAATGAGCCACAAACTCCTTGTGTACTCTTTAAAATGCGTGCCCAGATTTATAGTTCCGATTAAGACATAGTCGTGGGGGTCAACGTCTACGTGTGGTCCTAATAATTAGTGTGTTGGGGCTTAGTCTCTACAGATTGTTTGTCTTCTCAAGTGGCTGACTTCCGTTAGCTGAAGCCGTACCATGGGAAAGTTTGTTGGCGAACAGTTTGACAGGTGGTTTCCGAAAAAGGACTTAGCGATTAGCTGGTGTGCAAGGATATCATTTACCTTGAGCTGTAGCTTAGGTTCTGATTACATTAGCTCTTCTGTGAACTCATTTTAAGTGTATGTGCTAAAAAATAAAAGTAGATATAATTATAATTTTCATTCAATTCAAAACTGAAGCCAACATATTAGTTATCATTATTATTTATAGTGAATTGAAATGCCTTAAAAACTATTTCCAAACAACTAAATAGTAAAGCTTTACTTAAACAGCTATTTATTCTCTTGTCAATATCAATGAAATTTGTTTATACATCTAGCCCACACTGATCAACTAACTAGCCCATACTTTCGATTGATATTCAATGCATTCAGCAAAGCATACAAAGTCCAAGTAACACCTCTTAGTGTCAGCGACAACTCATTAGCCATGCTCAGCCCAAATGGCAATGGGAAAGACAACACTTACACATCCGGCTGGCACCAAAAAGTATCCAATGGCCAAGCCAAAAGTAAATGTTGTATATACAAATAATGAAATTTACAATTGTATATATACGTATATATTTTTTTGTATTTTTTTTTCTTCGCTTTTATCACTTCCGTGGCACGTCCATAACTGAAACTTGCTCTGTCGCTTGACCAAAACGGTCGACAGGGCCAACAAATATGAGAAAAACAAATACGAACAAAGCGAAGAGCAAGCGCATCGTATAAAATAAAATAAATGTGATTACTTTAATTATTATGCCACTCACACACACACATACAAATACAAAGAAGTCGCAGTCCAACTGTTACTCATATTTGTGTACCGTTCCCCCCTCTGTTCCCCTTCTATCTGTTGCAGGTGTTTGTGCACGCCAAAGTTTTCTTCAGCATTGGCGGACGCCAGTTTACCGGGGAGCCAGTTCAGTTCTCCTATATGCCCGACCAAGTGCTGGATCACGCACGCGACGTGACAATCAAATTACATCATCGCCTGGGGCGTTATCTGCAGTTGCATTTGTATTTCGCCGCCCGCTGGATGATGCTCAGCGAGATTACATTTATATCAGGTGAGAGCCAGAAAGCAAAGAAACGAAATGCCCGCTGGGCCAAAAAAAAAAAAACAAAAATAAGAAAAAAAAATATGTTGCCGTACAAATTATTTTATTAAAAATATGTAACATGAACACGCAAAACGTGCATGCTGCGTGAGAGAGAGCGAGAGAAAGAAGGGCTAACTTGGCTGCCACCTTGCTTGTGTTGGCCACCACATGGTGCATGTTGCGCCACTTGCAATAAATGCGAATGCATTCGTTGTCAACGCCATTGCTATAGGAGCTGCGATGAGATAGAGGCGGTGAGCGTAGTCGTTGTTGATGTGCCACTGTTGTTTGTAGTTTGAATTAATTTTTTATGCCAGTTCCCGTTGACTTGTTAGTGGATTTAAAATGTTGACAGAGCGACATGTTGCGTGAAGAGCCATCGTAGATTGGCTAGTTATACGACGGGTGCAATATGCAAAATATTCAAATCAACAATTTGTGTAATCAGACATAAGAGAAAATTAAAGCATCATAATTTTTTATGTAGCTGATTAATTTATTTAAGAACGAAATGATGCAGAAAGAAAGATTATTTTTTAAATATTATTTAGTTAGATATTTTGACTGAAATAAGGTTTACTAAAAATCTCAGTAATTTTTTTACTAATGTTAAATAGATTTGATGATCTGACAGACAAGACAAGGTATTGGAAACCAAAAAATATAAAAACCCAAAAATTTCTAATGTAAATTTGTTCTCAAATTATGCCAAATTGTCTTGCTCTAGTAGCATTTGATTCAACTATGCAGGTTCTGCACTCTTATGGGTCAAGCCACAAACAATAGAGGCACTATTTACCTGGCCAACTGTTTAAATGGTATATGCTATACCCAGTTAAGAGCGACGTGTAAATGAAGTGGAGGACTGGGAAGTGAAAAACTTTCTTAAATATACGGCTTGTTTAGAACAAGTGGTGAAACATACAACGTATAACCCAAACAGTAAACATAATTTACCCAGGCAAACTACAAAACTCAGTGCGCCTGCAAACATAAACTGCAGCAGCAACAGCAAAAGCAACTGCAACTGCAACTGCAACTGCAATGGCGGAAAAATAACTTTAAGCAATTGAAAATTCCACTGACACTAAAAATTCGTTGCGCATTTCATTAAAACCCCTGGCAAACGACTCGTCTCCACTCGAACTCGACTGTGTTTCGATGGTGCAAAATATATTACCAACTGGAAAGCAGGGCTATGAACCAATTTTTACTTAACTCACATCGCTGCTAAGCCAGCTGGGAGCTTTGTTTTTGTACGAGTGTTCTGTGTGTGTTGGAATTTGTGCGTCTGTGTGTGTGTGTGTGTGTGTGTGTGTGTGTGTGTATGTGTGTTGTGTGAATGTTGTGTGTGTACTGTGTGCAATTGTGCATAGAGTGATACAAAGCAGGCTGACTGTGTGTGGACATGCTGGGGGAACCGAACTGGGTAGCAAGTCAGCCATTGTAACCAGCATAGGAAACGGAAGCACACACACACACACACACACACACAGAGAGAAATTCAAAGCAACAGATAGACAGGGACAGAAACAAAGGGCGAGAGAAAGAGATAGAGAGGTGTGCTTAAGCTTACACAGACGGGGCTAAAACAGCAGCAATGGCATATGCTCGACTACAACCAGAAGCAAAGCACAAGGATATTGTGAAAATTAAATGAGTTGCATTACTTTTGTGCATTTGAAATTTGCAACTCAATGAGCACACCGAGCATAGAGCCAGGCAGCCAGCCAGCCAGCCAGCCAGCCAGCCAGCCAGCCAGCCAGCCAGTGCAATGCAGCGCAGTGGAGCCAACGGTATCCTGGGAGAGACCGAATCGATGGAAATGGTGACGGCAACATCGTGCTTTCCTGTCTCTGGCTTCCTCCTCTTACACGTTGCATAATAAAGCGCCACACTGCTTTTTAATGCTCTATGCCGGAATAAGTACGAGAACTATGCACTAAAGTTGGCTAAACACAGATATAGTTACAGATAAATATTTGACAACTGTGACTCACAGAGTCAAGCAGCCTTTCCTATATATCGTTTTTTCTACAAACTTTGATCAAAGTCAAGATTGTGTAAGAACATTTTTTAAATCAATAAATTAATTTTAATCAATCAGTTGTTTTTTATTAATATGCAACTTTGCTCGACATAGTAATATAATGAACTAATAATTTAAAAATAATTGTGTAAATTAATTGATTTAAAGAGTTATCCATGTTATTCACTAAAAATATATTTATTTATGTTCTTATTAATTTTTTTCTTCTCTTTTTTAATTACATTTTTAATTTATTGATTAAATGTGAGTAATATTTTTGTTAATATAATATGCCTTCACCAAATACATACTTATTGCTTTATGCCCTTATTGGAAAGGGAATTTAATCATCAACTTGCCTCATTTGTGATTCTCTCTTGCTGCCTTTGCCATTGGCGCTTGCTGCGCCGTAGTTCGTCTTGCTTACAGATTTGTTTTTTGTTCTCCCTTTTGTAGCTTTCTTTTAGCATTTTTTGTTTCCAATTTTGTTGTTTTATTTTTTTTCGTTTAGTCGAAGCGTACTTAAGCTTTGCAAGTGCTTTGCTTTATAAATCAATATATTTTTGCAATATATTTTTGCATGCTGGAGAGCCCCATACCCCAGATTTGCTTTACACACGACTTTGAATTTGTTGTTTGTGCGCTTGGATTTTGATGCATTCTGTTCAGGCAGCCATTCAGTCAGTCAGTCAGTCAGACAGTCAGACAATCAGTCATTCAGTCAGTCAGCCATTCATTCATTCGCTCAGACAGTTAGTCAGTGAGCCAGTCAAGCATTCGCATACAAATTCATTTCAATAACTTCGCTGCTGCTGCGCTTTAAGTCCTTTTTGCAATTTCCCTCGCTTAATCCTTTCTAATTGAAAATCGTTTTGTATTCGAGATCTGAGAGTGCCTTTTGAGTATGATTATTTATATGAATGTCTGTTTCTCTGTGTGTGTGCGCACTAGTAGTAGTCTGTATGGTAATGCGGATAACTGTGTGTAGTTTATGCTTCATGAATTGCATCAGTATTTGATGTAGTTGATTTGCTGCATTGTAGCGTCTGCACGGCCTTGAGCATTCGAGTAAATTGCAACAATGTGCATCATTTTGTATTTGGAATTTCGCTCGTAATTTGCTTAATGGTTGAGTTGAAGTGCCACCCAAAGTGCATTGATATTGAAAGCATTAAATTGCCGAGTGTATAATGCAATCAATGCAACTGCAGAAAAGGAAGGAAACTGACACAGACAAACAATGCGCTGTTAATGGAGGTCACGTGCATTGCGAAAGTTGATTAAGATGTACCATGTGCGAGCAGATTTAAAAGTATACACATCGATATATGTATATATATGTATAAGCATCTGAAAACTTGACAAGAACTTATTTGGCAGGAAATTATACCTCACAGATTAATTTGTATACGCAATAAATTGAATGCTGCTGTTGGTGATTACAATTAATACAGGTATAATAATTGCCAGATATCTGTTATTGTCATTATAAATAAAGAGGAAACATATTAAAATAACACTTTGTTCTGAGTTAATATTAATTAACATATTGAATTTAAAATTTCTGTAGCAGCACAATCAAAAGCTTTCAATGTAAGACTTGTTGCAGATTAAAACCATTAGTAAAAAGTTGGAAATTATTACTCAAATGAAAATGAAATCTGTTCTGAGAGGAAATCTCTATCGAAATGCCACAGAACTCCCACAATTTAGAGCCTTATTTATATGTGAAGACATTCAAAGATCGGTAAATGAATAATTATTATCAACTGGACGACATTCAAAGATCGGTAAATGAATAATTATTATCAGCTGGTATTACACTGGCATCCCGATAATCTGCAGTCGGTTACGGCTGACCAAAAACGTACTCACTTGTTTAAATGTGTAATAAAAATATAGTTATGTTTATAATTTTTTTTATTGCAGCCTTAAAGGCTTTTTAAATACCAGGAGTATAATATAAATTTCAGACAGTCAGCTATCTGCGATTGAAACTTTTGCAAAATAAATCCTTTACACTATCGTGTCTCCAAGTGTCTATATCCAATCTGTAACAGTGCCATGCACCACTCGAAATATCAAGTGGTGCTATTAACATTTTGTCTCTGGCAGCGGCAACAAATTAACATATTTTGGGTACGCTGTGGTTCACAGAACATATGACGCGGCATTTAGGAGTCCGACTACCCAATTCCCAACGGTTCTATTTGCTGCGGCGGACGAACTTTGATGCCACAAGCGTCGCTCCAACCAACAACAGAATGGCAAAATTTTGTTGCCGTCGCTATTTGCATGGCAAATTCAAACACACGAAAGTAAACAAAAAACTTTTGTGCCAACAAAAAAGTTGACGCCAAAGAAAATAGACGACACGCGGCAGCAACAACAGCAGCAACAGCAGCAACAGCAAAAATAGCAACAATGCCAACAACCACATTAAGCAAACAAGTTCAAAATCAATGCCACGAGCTGTAAAAATTTGCATTTCCCTCAACGGTTTTTGTGTGATGTGTTCTTTTCTTTTCGAAAATTTTGTTTTTAAATATCAAGCGGAGTTCAACAAACGCTCGAGGCGAAAATGCATTTGGAAATTGTGCTCCGAACCAGGATAACCATCCGGGCTAACAAAACAAAGTTCACAGTCCACAGTCCGAAGTCCGCTGTGTAAACACTTTGCCCAGTGAGACGAAGGGGGTCAGCTGATGTTATTGACGACTGTCTGGCCTGGGTTTGTCGCTGGTAGATGGCGTATTTCAACGTTTCTGTTTATTGTCTGGCTGCGAAAGGTCAACAGCAAACAATGCACACGCTTCAACGCCTACTCTAGTGTTGTAGGCGTGACGGCACCTAAAAGTATGCAACACTAATTGGCACTCAACGGGGCGTTCTTCTCAGCGTCAACGTTGACATCCCCACTGAAGAGCAGCTCATTTATCATAATAATCGCGATTCATGCCCGCACACCCCCTATCTCACTCTCTCTCTCTCTCTCTGTCTCCGTATCTATCTTTCACTGGCGCACTATCATTCTCTCCCTCTCTAATTGCTCACTGAGAGCCATTAGCTTAGTTGGTTTATCAAGACGGGCAGCTGTCAGGCAACAGTTTGCCATCCTGCCCCACTCTCAGTTAGCAGCAATCTTTATGCAGCCTATTTAGCTTGCAAATGAGCAAAATTCTCAATGCATTCCAAACTACATTCTCGTCTCTTCTAACTTGTGTTTTCTCTAACTGTCTCTGTCTCTGTCTCTGTTTGCAGTACCCGTTGTGGGCAATTTCACAGATGAGGAGCTGCTCAATGTGCCGCCTTCAAATGGGGCCGCTGTGCCAAACACATCGGAATATCCGCTGCAACGCGATGAGGTAGGTCGTGCAGTCAGCAGCGGTGGCGAGAGGAGTCAACACACCACCCAAGGTAAGTGCATTGAGACAGATTACCGTTAAATGTACGGAAATTGCTGGCTTACGACTTATCTGCCCCAATATGATCGCCGTACAGGATCTTAAAATCGCAGTCAAACTAAGGCAACGCTGCTATTATAAGGTTTTATTTAAATGAATATTTCAAGATATGATATATAAAAAATATAATTTAAGTATTGTGTTGTTATTATTATTATTTTTATATTTATATTTGTTATATATTTAAACTTAGCTCATAAGCATTGATTTGATTAAATGACAGAACCAACCCTAATGGAACAACGTTGGGTTCCAAATCTACCTTCTGGGGCTACTAAGAACAATGGAATTAAAACAAAGCTTAAATAAAATACACTATCGAAATTTCTTAAAATTCCCAGTGTATGTTTACTAATTGCTAATTGCAACTGTAAAACTCTGTAATAAGTCTATCTCTTAAGTTGGAATGAGTAAGCAAACAAAAGAGCGTGGGCAATTGGTGAAGACAACAATAAGCTCGAATATATATATTATATATATACATATTCTGGAAACCGGTTGTACGTAAATATGCTTTTCCGTCCGTCATAGCAAAATGCAGAAAAACTTTTTCATTAAAGACTTGCGCTGCACTTTTTTCTCCTTACATTTTCAGTTGCTTGCCACAGAGTTTAACCCAGTCGTTGTCTATTGCTGTTTTTATTGTTTGTTGTTTCATGTCACATCTTGGAGTTATATTTTGCTCTTGCTTTACGCAGTTATCTCGCCGAAGCCCATTGACCATCAGGAACCAGAAGCGAGTTTCGTTGGCGTCATAATCACAGTGCTGGCAACAATTATCCTCTTCCTTGTCGCTATTATACTTTTGATAATAGCTCGCAATAAGCGCGGACGCGGACGTGGCAACGTTTTGGATGCATTTCAGCATAATTTCAATCCGGACACGCTCGGCGGCGTTGATAAGCGACTGAATGGCAATGGCGTCTTGAAGGTAGGCAAATGAATAAACTGCCACATACATATATAGATACAAAAACTCACAACCACAATCAACTGACGTCTAACGTTCGGCCACTAACCGGACGACATGACAAGTGCATAAGCTGCTGTCGCACTGTGGGGGCTAACGACGCAACCAACCCAAAATGCATGTCGGAAATAAAAAAAATAATGAAAAAAGAGTTAAGAAAAAAATGAAAATTGCTGCTAACGCACAAAGGTCTCAGATGGTAGAGAACCGGCTCCATATGCAGAAATCATGATTAAAAACTGTTCTCTATTGGCTGTCAGAGCACAACAAAAATATAAAAAAAAACTAGGCGTCAACTTTTTTTTGTGCACTGCATGCCACACATGTGTGTACATTTACATTTTTTTTGATTGTTTAATTTTTTGGATTTTTCATTCTATCACCTTTTGCCCTTAGGTGGTCACAACAATGGATGACAATGAGTCGTCCATTGACAAGAACAGTCTGTACCATGAGCCCTTCAATGTGAACATGTACACGAGCGCGGCCAGTGCTTGCTCCATGAATGACCTGCAGCGTCAGCATGTAACTCCGGACTACACAGGTGAGTTCACGCAAAGAGGTGGGGCGAAGAGTTTACTGCATCTACTGCCGTCATGTGGCACAAACAGCGCTCAGCATGGCTAAGGCTTTAGCTCCTGTTTTTGCTGCTGCTGCTGCTGCTGCTGCTGCTGGTGCTATTGCTGGTACTGCTGGTGTCGCTGCTGATGAGTTTGATGTTTTGCGTCCTGGCTGTCACAGGACATGCAAATGTTTCTGCAACGTTGCGAGCAAAAAAAGAGAGAAATGCGATAACGAAGCAATGCTTAATTTAGCGCACAACATGAAAGTTCAGCCCGATGGACTTGGCCAGCGGCGCTACAACAGCAGCAGGACCAGCAAAATAAGAACAGCAGCAAGCAGCACTATCAATCAAAAAAGAACAACAAAAAAAAAGGAAATTCGCGCGTTGTTGGTGCCGCAGGACATAATTTTGAATTGCTTAGTCGTCGGACGGAGCAAAACTAACTGAAAGGGTATGCCAAAGGGCTTATGAACTTTGTTACAATTTGGAGTAGAAAAGCTTTAGATTTAATTCACATTACTTTTTATTTCAGCAGCTCAAATCTGTAATATACAACTATAGTTCGCATTGCAATAGATAGCAATGCATTCCCAATCTCAGAGTTGATACTCTTTTATAAAATATAAAAATGCATCTAAACTTTTCTTATGATTATAAATTAAATATCAAAAACACACAAACACATACAAATATACAATAAATATGAGTTAAATATAAACATCAGTGAAAAGTAAACGAACTCAACTGTATCTTAGTTAATCAAATGTAGGCACTCGCTCAATCCGCTTACGAAATACTGTTTTATCTCGGCCTAAAACCCAAACAAATAGCCAATAATGAGTAGCCAAATAGCAGTCAACGTACCTTAAGCTGCCTAGTTAAGAGCTGACACAAAAAAGAGTTCCACATAAAACATGTGAATGCTTTTAGGAGAGTAACTAAATGTCAGTATACGGCATTTGAAGGCAACTGTTCGAGATACATGTGCACTGTTTAATTGCCACACGAGAATGTAGCATTTGGTTTGGGATAACGACGTTAGCTACATAATTTGTAATGAATTCTAATGTCTTGTGTCCGCTGCCTAAAGGCGTGCTACACACTTTTTGCGGCTCTTGCGCTTATCTCGAATAGAGTTTGAGACACTGAGCCAAGCGAAGCATGCCACATAAAATCGACAACACGCAGGACTGAGCAGTCACATTGTTTGCACACATTCCTGGACCATCGTCATCGTCATCGTCATCATCATCATTATTATTATCATTATGCTCATCATAGCCATTGTCATCGTCATCATAAACGTTTATGGCACGCCTTTCATGCGCTCGAGGCATTTGCCAAAAAGTTTTGTGATGTTGCCTTTGGGTGCATTTTATAACTGGGCAGCAAATATTTGTCATCGTCCCACCAGCCACCTGCGAGCTCCTCTTCTTTGTCTGTCCGTTGCCATAATAATTTAATTTAGCTCAAATAAATTATAACTTTAGCCATGGAACTCTACCATTCCTCAACTGAGTACCCATTCCCAGCACTCGTCACAGTCTCGCGCGTACCGCACGCTTCAAATTGAGTGCTTCAAACTTCGTTGGAAAACTTGTGCTTGCCACACGCGGCTGGCAGTCCTCCTTCACACACACACACACACACACACACACACACACACACACACTCAAATTAAAGTCCATTTTTGAAATCAACTGCCAATTTGCACTGCCGTAACGATCCCCTCGACAAGAGAATCCACATAATAGCATTGCATGCAAACAAACATGGCAATGAGCCTGAGCCAAAGCACGAAACTCGTTTGAAAGCAGGTCGCAATTTACTCAGCTGCACATCACCTTGCTTGTAAATATTGTATAAACCGGCAATTAAAGTAAACTTCTATTGAAATCAATAAATTCAACTCATTGCCAATGCAGATTATGAGTGTTTACCTTAAACCTTAAAATTTATTTGTTTATTTCAATTGTTTATTTCTCTAAATAAAAATTGGATTAAATACACTCAAAAATAAAAGTTTTGATAGTTCAAGGATTAAAAAGTAAAGAAACCAACAAAACGTAACTTTCAAACCAATCCCACAGAGTTAGAAATGTTATTCAAAATTCAGTAAAAAAAAGAAAGAAGAATTTTACTGCAATAAATAATTAAACTGAGTTTTTAATGTGATTGTGAAAGAATTTCAAAAAGTTTATATATTTTTATTTTGTTCAGTTTGTCATTGTTTTTCATTGTATATTCGCCTATGCTCCAATTGGAATAGCGTATTTGAGATCTCTGCAATTTCAAGTTGAGAATGTAAGGCCACAAAACTTCAGTGCAACATCAAAACTAAGGCACTGATTGCTCAAATACATAGATAGATATAAGGACACACACACATGCACATTTGAACAACTTGCATACGAATTTTGCACAGTCGTCGAAAAGTTTTGTCATTAACGTTCTTTGGTTGTCTGTCTGTCTGCCTGTCTGTCTGTCTGTCTGACTGTCTGACTGTCTCTCTCTGCCTCATTGGCTATCTCTTTCGCACTGTCTGTAATTTTATGTTTTCACTAGCTTTTGGCACAACGAATGCAAAAATGACAGGCACCATAGAGGCCGAAAAACAGACAGACAATGAGCCGCACACAAACTAAATAATGTTATTACAACAACAATAAAATTAAAACTTATCTTGCCGCCTGCGTCGAGGGCGAGTGCGAGTGCGAGCGAGACGACAGAACGCCAAGTTGCAATTAATTTCATTTAGTTTTTTGCCACACGCCATTTTCTCTTGCCCGGGGTTCTACCCCTCCTCTACTAGTTTTTCCTTTCTATGTGCAACGAGAGTTGACTAAATGGGAAAAGTTTGAAGTTGAAGGCACAAAAGTCCTGGACAAGACAAATGAAAATCAGAGACAAAAGCGCCCATTTGCCGAAGCGAGATGGCATTACATGACGGCACTGTGAACTACTGCCAGCAAAGCAAAGCAAAGCACAGCACAGCACAGCTCAGCTCAGCTCAGTACAGCACAGACAAACTGTTCAACTCAGAGTTGCATTCTGTTTGCCCCGTAGTTTCAATTTATGAGTGGGACAGTTCACCCACTCTCCAAAATACGCTGGAACAAGGGGCAAACAGTAGAGCTGCTAAATAAATTTCACTAGCAACACTCAACTTTCCGGCATATGTTTTGAAAATCAGTTTTACCTCATTTTACAAAAGTTTTAATGTTGGCAAAAAGTATTTTAAATATACAGAAATTCAGAAGTTTACGTAAAACCGAATGTGAAGAAAAACTTTGGAAAGGAATAAATATTTAACGATTTTTGTTTTTATGAATGACATTTCTGACATGAGATTTTTAAAAGTTTCAACCGACGAGCTACCTTCAATAGATGGTAATTCAATAATTGTGACTGTCACGTTTAATATAATACATATAATATCGATAACAATCGATATCATTGCTGTGATCACCAGAAGAGCGGAATCGTTGTGAATATAGTAAAGCAAAAATATTGTTTGCAACATACAAAGTATTTGCTTAAATGTTTAATTAATTAAAATTTTAATAACAAAAAACTTTTATTTTTCTTAATAAAATCTTGAATTTTCAAACTATACCAATACTTTAGAATTCCGTTTATTGCCCAGCTAAACTTTAGCTAAATGAATTTAAGAGAAACTTGCAATTTACAACCTGCAACGCACATTCATTTACGTCTTGTGTAGTGGAGTGTGAACCTCGCTTGAATTTGCTCGTAGAATTTTGTGGCATCTTTTGTATAATTCGTTAGCCCGACAAAAGTTTTGCCTGGCACGTAAAATGGCGCTTAAAACTTTATTGTTTTGGTGAGGTGCAGTTTGGCCGTTCTATTTTATGGTCAAAAATTAACACTCTCTGAACTCTAAAAACCATCCCCTGCATTTTGCTTCGTCTCTTTGCACAGATGTGCCGGACATTGTGTGCCAGGACTATGCGGTGCCTCACATGCAGCAGCTGCTGCCCAATGCCGCTGGCACCGCCACCGCCCGCAGCTCACTGAATGCATCCATCGTTGCGGCTCCAGTTGTTTCAGCAGCAGCAGCAACAGCAGCAGCAACAGCAGCAGGGGGACCAGGGGCAGCACCACCCGTACCACCGCCACCAGAGAAATACTACGCAGCAACACCAATTTGCAGCAAAACAGCGTCTGGACCGCCAGGCTCGCAGAGCAGTGGCTCGTTGAGTTTGAGCTCCTCCAATACGGCAGCGACCACGCCCACGCCAACGGGCGGCAAACCACATCATTACAATTTGGATATGAGCGCTAATTTCGCCGACATCAACGCGGAGCAGGCCAATTGCCAAGTGCAGGAGTTTCCACGCCAGTCCCTGGTAATCGTCGAGAAGCTCGGCTCTGGTGTATTTGGTGAACTGCATTTGTGTGAAACAAATGTGCTGAAGTAAGTATCCACTATACCAACCAAAGCCACCCCCCTCCACAACCCTACACTACACGCCCCACAGTATACTTAACCGAATCGTGTGTTGTGTCTGCTACAAGCGGACCAAAAATCATTCGCAAAATGCAACTAAAATAGCTGCATTAGGCTTACGCTATATTTTCCGGCTACACTCAAATACCAGTGAGCTGCCATTTTGAAAAGCAGCCAGACTTCAATGCATTTGAACAACAGCAGCAGGCTTAGTCTTAAACTTTAGGTAATTATTGAGTGGCAGCAAGAAATAAATACAATTTTTGGCTGAAGTTCTAAAACTCGACTGGGAATGTTATGTACACTAAATAATAGTAAAACTATAAGAACAACATTTTTAACAAAGAAATGCACAATCGAAAAGTTAATCTCTAATGCGTCGGAAAAGATTAAAATGCTTAAGTGAATGCCATATAAAATATTTTTCTTGTATTCTACATTTTAGAGTGCTCACTTCAATATTGTATCAATGTAAATCAAAAATGTTGCACGTTTGTTTACAGAAAATAAATATATTGCTTAGGGCTTTTACATATATCTGAAATAAGCATCTTAAATAGAAATCTTGTGAAAAACCAATTACAACGAACAGAACCTAATCAATTGATATTTATGGAAGAATTCGAACATCAAATGAATCATCTATTTTGACATATTGCCAACTTGGTTGCTTGACTTACAACAAAGAGATAAGTAAGAGATTATCCAATTCATAAAAGTATATAGATATATACAGCAAATATGTCGCTGACGTTGGACAAATGAAAAGAAAAATCAAAAACTCGTATAACAACAGTTGACAATGAGAAAAACCGCAACGCACATAACTACAAATATATATATATTATATATATATATATATATAGATAGATAGAATACATCAAACGGTTAGATGGAAAGATAAATGAATCCGAAGGCTGTGCAATGGCTCTTCACCACCCGCTGCAGGTAGTTGCATGCAGCAAGCTGCAGGTAGCAGGTTTTGCAGGATATAATACCACGTCTGCGGTAACAACAACAACAACAACAAGAACAACAACAATAACAGCACCAACAATAATAACAACAGACGCACATGCTGGCCACAAAAAAGCTTATCAGAAATTCCATTATGAAAACTTTAACCAAAAAAGGCAGCAACAGCAGCAACAGCAGCAGCAATGTCAACAACCAAAACCAAAAGCAGAAAAGCAGTAACCAGACGCAAGCGAGACAAGTTGAGAGCTGAAAACAGCCATTGTATTCGTCGGGTAACAAGTGGGAGGGAAAATGGTGGCGATGGTGCAAGCTACCTTTGATTTCATTTTTGCCGTTTAATTAAAGCTTTTTATTGCACATTAAACATATATGAGCAAGGGCGTGGCCTGGCCATACATTGGCTACAATTTGTTACAATCTGCTGCTGCTGCAGTATGTTTTCATTTTCGCAGACAGCCTGGAGTGTGTGTGTGTGCTGTGTGTGTGTGTGCGTTTGATTTTCCACTTGCATGTCTATTATAATTTTCATCTGTGGTCTAGCACAATAAAGTCCATCTGTTGTCTGATAACTGTCTATCCAGCTGTCTATTAATATTTTATCAGAGGCCACGCCCAACACAAGTGGTAGACGGACGACCTCGTTCGATGCCGACCACTTGAAGTCTTAACCCGAGCATACCCATTGTGTTGTGCTTGTGTGTGTGTGTTAATTATTTTGCATACAGCTGCCCAGAACATGCAGCCAAGGGTCATCCTGGCCGCTTTTGCTTCTAGTTTTTCTACCACTGCAGTGCAAAATAACGTATACGTAATACGTTTTGTGGCTTTCTAACCGCAAAACTATTAAAGCAAGCAGGCAAATCGAATGGTAACGGAACGTATCGAAATTGCCAGGGCAACCCGGATTGACAATAGCAGCAACTGCAGTGCCAGGACACTGACAAGGACACTTTTGAGCTACAATAATTGATTTTTGCGATAGAGAGCAATTGTCATCTGCATACATATTTCAATTGTTATATATTTAATTTGGACCTGCTGGATAGTAGCTGTTCAGATAGCAGAAATGGGAGCCAGACTACCGTGAGTTTTGGTTGCATGTGATATGTGTTCTGCGGCTTACTCACTAGAAAAGGTACAAAGGGAAGCAGTAGTTAAAGTAAATTGTTAGGTTCGACATGGAATTGAGTCAACGATTCTAAAACCTAAGTCTGAAAACGATTGCATATTAATAAAATACTTTTTGCTTAATTGTTGCATTAGCTTATTCGATCAAATAAGATTTCGATAGCCTCAAAAATACTAAGCCTAATTATCAAAAACATTAATCGAAGTATGCCATACATATATTATTTATTTAGAATGAATACAAATTACAATTTATTTTTATATTAACATCAATTGATACTCAATCTTGAATCAAAACTTCTTAATCCCTTTGAGCGATTTTGAAACTAAACATAAATGTCAATCCTATATCTTACAGCGCCACCCTTGTTGCGGTTGCCACCCTACGTCCTGGTGCTAGTGATCATATGAGAAAGGAGTTTCGCAGCAAGGCCAAGCAGCTGGCGCGTCTCAGCGATCCGAATGTGGCACGTTTGGTGGGCGCCTGCCTGCGGGACGAGCCCATATGTATTGTGCAGGACTATTCAAATTGTCTTGGTGACTTGAATCAATTCCTGCAGGAACATGTGGCCGAAACGAGCGGGCTGATGGCCAACAAGAGTCTGAGGTAGGTAGACAAACGGAGAGTGAGACATAGACAGAGAGAGAGAGAGATAGAGAGAGAGTGGCAGAGTTTTTCCCTTTTGGCTGAGCGCTACTCTAATGTGTTTTGTCTCTTTTCGTTTACTGGCTGCGTTTTTGCGTGCGTTTTTATCATGTTTCCTGTACCGACGCCATTTGCCGACGCTACACTTCCGGTCTCGTGTTCAATGATTACGCCGATCTACCAACGAACAACCACCGAACAACCACCAACAACATGCGCAAACGGATGTAAAAACTTCGTTAACTTTGCTGCTGCTGCTGCTGCCGCTGTTACTGCTATCGCCGTCGACGTTTTCGTTGTCGTCCTTGCCACACGCGAAAACTTTTGAAATACTCATTTGACGTTGGCATCCTCCCTTGGCATCCGTTTCGTGACCCCCCAACCACCACCCTCAACCGAACACTCTTGTAGCTATGGCTGCTTAGTCTACATTGCCACACAAATTGCATCGGGCATGAAGCATTTGGAGCAAATGAATTTCGTACATCGGGATCTGGCAACAAGGTAAGTACTTGAGATAAGAACACCTTACACCACTGGTTGTGCCCCCTCTGTTTGAATTTCTGTCACATCGTTGCAGCAAATTGAACTTTAAGTTAACATGTTGAAAAGTTTCTCTCCTTATTTTTTTTGGCTTTTTTTTGTGTGGTGCGTGCTCAAAAAGTTTTTCAACTTGCGGTTGAAAGGCAAGCGAAAATAAAAAGGGTGTTTTAAAAACTATATGCGCTTTAATTTCAGCTTCTCAATTTCGAAGAAAAACTGAAAAAATATATTTTAAGCGAATTTTATGACCTTTTCAATAAAAATTAATACTTTATGTTCAAGAAAATATTCATCAAATTTGAAATAATTGAATCACTCACCGTGTTATTTATGAAATTGAATTAAACGAATGAATATTCGTGAATTTCTTTTTACGCCTGTAATAAAGAAATTTGATATCTAAGTTATATTTTCGAAATGTTATTACAATTGAGCAGACGGGAAAACTGAGAGCAAATTGGTTTATGGAACAGACTTTGCATTGCCAATTTTGTCAGAATTCTCAAGTTACTGTAATGAAATTGCGTTGCCCCCACAAACGAAATCAACTAATAATATCACATTATTACCAACCGAATAGCCGGCAAGTGCGAGTAGTAGAAACTGGGCAAAATGCCAGGCAAGTTATAAATAAGATGGTAATTCAATATATCGAAGAGCCCGAACGCTGATGCCGCTGTCTGCACATTTGCGCATAAAATGTAATCAATTAAAATTAATTTGCTAATGAAAATGTCAACAAGAAGAGCACCAGCAACCAGCAACAAACATGACAGCAACAATAACAAGAACAGCAGCTACAACAATGGCCATGGCAACACTTGACGACGTTCCTGTCGCTTATGGGCGAAATTCTTTCTCCTCCTTCCATTTTTTTTATTTGCTTTTAGCTTATATAAATGAATGATAGACACTGTTGTTATAGCAGCGCCCATCGCCCATCGCCCCGCCGAACTACCATCGTCGTCATAACAAATCAATAGACTTGTAGAGCATGTTACGTGGCATGTTCTGGCCATATTTCTTGAATGTCTTTGAAATCCAATAAGAAATTTTGCTATTTTTGGGCACGCAATTGTCAAACACAATCGTCTGTCAGCCGCCCAGCCCGTGCTCCAGCACTCAAATGACTTCCATTGCATAACAATGCAATCCAATAAAAATAATAAAACAAAAAATAGTAGAAAGGTATATCATTTGACAGCAATTGGCCATGGCGCCCAACGTGGGCCATGAGTTATCTCCTTCTTTTTTTTTCGTTTAGCCATGTACAAAATTTGTTCCTCAGCAACGCCATATGAATTGCTAGCCATAAATTTTTGAACATGACAATCCGACGTATGCGCAACATAACTACAAATATTGCGTATGCATGACATGATCAGAAGTCTTTGTGTTACTTGCAATTTTACTGTAAAATATACGAAATATTAAGCCAACGTAATATCAGCTTAGCAATGCAGTAGGGCAAGGTTGAAGTTCAACTCTATTAAACGGGCTGTCTAGCCACAAGAATATTTTGGGTCTACTTTTGAACTGCTTATCCAAATCACAGACATGTTAACTGACCCGTTGTCGAGCAATTTGAGTTACATATAGCTACAATTAGTATGTCAAAGCTAGCGAGCTTAAGCCTGTCAGTGAGGGCATCAACTAAAGCACTTACTGGCAGGGCTCCGAATGTTCGTTCGTTCGTTCCTTTTTGGTTAGCTTAACATATTTGCCATAAAAATTAACTAAGATTTCAGGCTGAATTCACTTAAATAGAATTTCTGCTACATTTGCCCAGGCAAACAAAGAACCCAAGCACAAATACATACACACCACACACCACTTATACTCTCACACACTCGAATGAACGAATGAACGAATGTATTCCAGGCATTGTTTGATTTGCCATTTTACCTAGCGCACAGACAACGTCTCAGGAAACAGCAGCAAATATTAGCTGCAAAAACCACAACGAATGACAAGTGATGGATAAAGCTGCCAAACGATGTTTGCACAGGGTTCTTCGAATACGAAATACAAGTCGGGCAGATTCTTTATTTAATCTAAAGTAAAATTAAGAGAGATTAATTTATAATAACTATTTTTACACAGGATTTTAAATGTATTTTGCTTTTGTTGATTTTAATTTAATAACATTTACTTGTGAAAGACTTCACATATTTTTTTATGATACATAGTTGAATTTGTGCAGCTGCCAAATCTTAGGTCTAAAGTACTTTTCCAACTGCCACAATAAACCGTTTCACGCCACTGTGTCCACTTATTAGCTAAAATTTCACAACAATTTCAACCGCTTGCCCGCACAACTGTAAAGTAGTTCTGGCCACAAGCCAAATTTGCACAAATTTGCTAGCCACTCCCGCTTCTGCCATATTCCTCCTTTGGCTATGGAGAACTTGTCACAGCACTGCAAGGCAAGGCATACAAATTGTTGGGCAATGTTTGGGAATCGGAATGGGAATGATGGTACGAAGGCCACTATTAAAATTTTATACTTAACTAATGTGCTGTTGGTTGGGATTTTACTTCTGGTCGGATTCCGACGGCAAACAGCTGACGTAAACAGTGCACATAAAGAAAATTCACAGAAGTACCACAAAAGAGGAAATTCAGTAAATAAGTGTACACAGTTGCATTGCAGCTTAGACATACAAGCTTACATGTGTTTAGTCAACAGGATGTAGAATTGTCTTTGGATTTGTGCTTTTGCAGTTACTTTTGTTGCTTTTTGTTGCTTTTTGTTTTCGTTTCTCGGTTTTTGTTGGCAACGCCCATGTAGGAAATGAGTTTATTGCTGTTGTAAATATTGCAAAATGTTTTGTGTGCACCAGTAAAACAAAAAATTATTTTATTCCACCCACTCCTAAGCTATACCAAAACCTTTGTTGATGTCCGCAAAATTCTAAAATTCTCTCAGCTTCTGCGGTTTTAGTTTGGTCTTCCGTTGACTAGCCAGAGTAGTCATGTATCATTGATTTCACTGTTTTTGTTGAAAAATTACGGAGATTGGGTTACAAGCATAGCTGTGGGCAGTGTTTTATAATTTAAGTGCTTGTCTTTAACCACAACTTCAGTTCGTCGTCTTTCGCTGTCTGCCTGCAGTCAGATTACTCAACTGATGTGAGGTGTTGCAGTAAAGTTTAATGTGGTTAAAAATATGAAGCAACGAAATAGTTGAAATATTACTTATCTATATTTAAAAACAATTCAATAAAATGCTCATTCAAATAGTCAGAAAGTCACTCAAAAGAAACAACTCCCACTGCAAACCTATAATCTTATATTGATCATAAGTTCCCAAAACATTTTTGAGAATTCTTTATGGCAAAAATTTAAAATATGGGAAAAACAATTTTTTTCTGAGACTTTTTAATTTTCTCATTTATTTAAAAAAAACAATATAAATTACTTCAAAACTCTTTTGTTTATTATTTCTTGTTAAATTTCTTTGATATATTTCATAATTCTAAACATTTTGCATCCACCCTTATATAACTTTACAATAATTTCCAATCAATTACACAATTAATCTTGAAGTATATATAAGTAATAAGCAGAAGGCATGGCCATATTCGTAAACTAAAAGTGATTTAAATGGAACGACGTTGTCGTTATGGCAACACTTTTATCAACATTTCCTGCCAACAAGGCAAGAACGCATGTGAAGGAAGTTGCGAACCACAGGACATGAAAATAAAACAAGCAGCTGTTGTTGCTGACTCTGCTTCCGCTTCAGCATCTGCATCTGCATGTGCTTCTGCTGCTGCGCCTGCTGCAACCGAATCCTTGGCCGAAAAGAGCAATGCATTTCAATTTCGGCCTTTAAATAGTTTTGCCTACTTTCGAACGGCAAAGCAGCTGCAGCAGCAGTGCCAAAAAAAAAAAAACAATGTGCCCTCTTTCACTAGCTCGTTTGGTCTGCTGAAAGTTTACACTGTACAAATATGCAGAGCACATGCACACACACACACACACACACACACACACATGCAGACACTTATCTATATATACATACACACTCATAGAGGCACCCATCCATTTCCTTTCATCCCACTAGACTGCTGCATATTCTATAACGACGCATTTTTTCCCCCTTTTGCTGCTGCTACAAAACTCTTATCAGCGCCATTTCCCTTTTGGCCAAAAGTGGGCGGCATGTAGGGCGGGCGTGGCATTGCTTGCACCCAGAAATTGTTTAAAAATAGTTTGCAAGTGGTAAAGAAGATGATGAAAAAAATAGACCCCCGCACACACACACACACACTCGAGTGAATGCCCCAGAATATGAAATTTTGCGCTGAGTGTTGAGTGTAGGGCAGCCAAAGTGGGCGTTCTCCGGCTGTGTTGTCATTTATTGCTGTGCGTAGCTTTCATGTAATTTTCAAGTATTTTTTCAACAGCCAAAAACTGTGCAGTCTCTGCCAGTATCCAAAAAGCATAGGGTATATTAAGTTTGGCAAAGCCGAGCTGAAGAAATTCATAAACAAAACTCATTTGCCCTTGTAAGGTAATTATTTGTTGGCTTAATATGATTAGAGTTTAATATAAATTCTAAATACATTTAAATCGTGGTAATTGATTAAATATTTAATACATAATTAATTTTATTCGATTGGTTCGATTTGTAAATAACTTTTAATTATATATTTAATATGAAATATTCGAATAATAAAATGCTATATTTATTGGCAATATTTTGGATTGAACTATAGTCTAATATTGTTTATTTATAATATTTAATATATATTTAATACATCAATGCATCTACAAAAGAGTATCTAATCGTCTAAATCGCTTGATCTGTAACATTCTAACTTATTTCTCATGCTTCTTTTTGGCAGCCGCAATGCAGCAAACTTTTGTCATTCACCCACCCACACAGCGCAAGAGTGTGTGTGTGTGTGTGTGTGTATGGGTATATATGTATGTATGTGTGTGTGTGTGTGTGT